CATCTTAGATGATCAAGTAAAGAGAAAGGAAGAGTTTCCCTATTTGGTCAAAATTTTAAGAAGGAAGATGAAGGAAGAAGCTAAGAGGAAAGAAAGAGAATCAATCAAATTTTAAGTGAGGTAAGTATAATTCCTCACCTACACCATAAGAGCTTGATGTTTGAGGCATAATTGGGTTCTAATTTAGGGTTTACTTGATGAAGGGATTGTAATTAGGATTACCGAGAATTCTATATTTATGATTGAATTGGATTGGTTTGTTATTCTTTATATGTGTATGATGTGAGGAAAAATGATGTTGAATTCTTAAATAGATATGAATGTTTATGTTGGATGTTGTTTTTGTTCCATGAACAAGATGGATGAACAAACCTTAAGTAGGCATAAATTGGTAGTTACCTTGTCTATTGCCTACCAAGTATTTGATGAAATATCCTAGAGGAAATTCTTAAGGCTAGATAGAAGGAATGAAGGTTATCCTTCACTTAGGTTAAATTTGTCTAAGTATGAAAAACAAGGAAAAAGGGGTAAAAAGTTAATTGCTAGGTTTAGAAGATTAAGAGAAATGAGAATGACTATATTTATGTGAAAAATTGATTGATTATGATGCTTGTTTGCTTGGTTTGAGATGATATTTATTATTTTTATGGAATGTGCAAGGTATGTTTCATGTTGCATGCATACATAATTATTTAGAACATGTGAATGATTTATAATGTTTATAAATTTTCTTAAGGATTTAATGATATGCATGTGTGAGGTCATATTTATTGCAATGCATTTCATTCAAATGCATATGCTCATGCACATCATTATCATGAAAGAGGATTTTATATTCATGATTTTGATGAAAGGAAAAGGAAAATGGTTTTAAGGAAAAGAATAGGAAAAAGGTTTTCATGATAATGCCATTTCTTCATCGAGAGATTTGGTAAAGGCCTTAAAGTTGAGAGATTTGGTGAAGGCTTTAACTTAAGAAATTGACCTATTTTTTTCGAGGGATTTGGTAAAGGCCGTGATAGTTAGGGGTTTGGTCAAGGCCTCGACCGAAGAATATGGTGAAGGCATTTATTCATCGAGGGATTCGACAAAGGCCTCAATGGTTAGGGGAATTGGTGAAGGCCCTAATCGAAGAAATGATAAAAGAAAAGGTGTACCCGAAAATGGAAAAAGGAAAAAGAAAATGGTTTTCAAAGGCATGATAAAGGAAAATGGTTTTTTTTTAAAAGGCATGAAAAAGATTTTATGAAAGTTGCATCATGTGCATTCGTGCATGAGTTATACTTACTCGGGCATTCCTTTGCTCATCATTTGTTTCTTATGGTGTAGGAAATAATAAAGATAAATGAAGGGTCGTCGCTAAGATAAGTGATGGACTTGCCTATTTTGTGTGCTTTTGCTTTAGGTTAGTGAGTAAGAAAAATCATGTATGGCTTAGCTTGATTTTTGGGTATATATTGGCAAGTTAGGCGTCTTTGATATAAATGTAGATTAATTAAACAAATATTATTTTAGTATAAATGAAAGTGTTAATTGAAGGTTAAGTCAATATTATGTCCGATTTTGTTAGTTGTAGATTATGGATGCCTAAATGACTAATATGGCTATGATGATATAATTGATATGATTATGGAGATGATTGCATCTCGGGATAAAAAGTAATCTAGATAGGAATGGGAAAGTCAAGGTTAAGAGAAAACATAATGGCCTATTCGGAGGTTTGAATGAAATTAGCAAGTAAATTTAATTGAACCTAAATTTAAGGAGGAAAAATTTACACCCAAATTATGTACGAGTGGACCTTATGTATGGATAAATGCCCACTTCATTAATGTACTAGTAACAATAAGGGAGAAGAATTATTGGCTTAGATTCATTGCACATCGAATGTAGGTCAATACCGATAATACCCTCGATCTATTTAGGTCCTAAGTTGGGGGCATTATAGAAAGGTAAGGTATTCTTGTACTCATCGTAAGCGTCGAGCCATATTCGGACGGTTAAATACTATTTAGTGAAAAACAGCTTTGTGTTTGGCAATTATGAATGAATGAAGGAATTAAGTCATGAATGAATTTAGTTTCGGATATTTATGATGAAGGAGAATAGATTTTTATTGAACTCTACAATCCATATCAAACAATGGTGACGGAGCATCGGTATGCTCGATGGATTAAGGAGGTAGAGAACAAATATATGGAGGACAAGTAGCATATCCAGCGAGTAAATGGATAGAATGGAACGGATATTAAAGGAAACACTAAAGAGTCACGTCCCTCTTTTTAACCCTCCCTCTCCCCCTATCTAAGAGTTTGATTTTCCTTCGATATCCAACATCTAAAAGATGAAGTCGCAAATAATTTTGAAGAAGACTAGTTTTCTTTTAAACTATTTTTTTAAAATGTTCGTATATCAAATTGTGTGTGTGTGTGTGTGTGTGATTTTATATTCATTTACATTATTTCATAACATTTTGTGTGTTATAATTTTATTTTTAGCTATTGGCTAATACGAAGGAACATTTAAAAGCCTATCAACAACATTAAAAAAAATAAAAATAAAAACTTAATTTAGCAAAAGACTTGTGATAGCCTAACCGCAACAACAAAAATTAAATTTAACTATGAGCAACGAAATTAGTGACAAATACCATCAACAAACAGCGAAAACAATTAGTCACAACATTTAGCAATGGATTTTTGTCTTTATAAAATAACGGATTTCACACTAATTGTACAAATGTTACAACAAAATAGCGGCGAAGATTCATTAAAACAAGCAACAAAATTTTTGACTCTAAATTGCGATAGACTAGTTAATCCGTCGCTAAAAAATTTAGCAACAAGCTTTTTAGCAACAATTGTTTTCCATCACTAAACCGATATAACAACGTAAATGTAAGATTTAGCGACGGATATTTTCATAATTTCACTTTTATTTTTTTTAGTGGTATGACACTTGTCCATGTACTCAATTTGACATGATTTTTAATTTTTAAAACAAAAAAATAGCTCAAAAAAAATCATCCATTTTTAGAAATTGAAAAGAAAAGAAAATATTAAAAAAATTACCCTTATGAAATAAGAAAATTATTAGTAGGTAGATTTATTTGGATTTTTTATATTTTTAAAAGAAAAAAAGGCTTGAAAAATAAATTTCAATATTTAAAACATTTAAAAAATTAGATAAATATTAAAAATCTAAATAAATCCTTTTATTAATAATTAAATTTTCTTTGATGTTACTTTATAAGGGTAGTTTTTTTTTTTTCTCATCTCTAAATTTTGCAAAAATAATATTTTCAAATTGAAAATTAGGTCAAATCGAATACATGAAAATTTAATGAGTCAAAAAGTACTCTCGATGATGTTACAAATCGAGAATTATAGTTTTAAATAGAATACATTGTAATGACATTTTGTATATAAAGTTGTAATTGTAAATAGAATACATTGTAAATTAACTCCTTTAATCATAATAATAGTAAAAGAACTCAACTAATCAAACCTCAATAGTAAATGGACATCAAGTGTAATTAATCCATTAAAAGTTTGAAAGGATGTTTATAGGGTGAAATACACTCCATCACCTTATACTACTCAATATTGTTCATTTTAAATAAACTATATACTACTCAAAGTTGAGATAAACCTTCCATCTAACATTTGACCAATCATATAATAACACATGATTAATAAAGATGAATGGAAGGATTGGTTTATTCAACTTTGAGTAATACATAATTTGTTTTGTATCATACTTTAATAAAAACATTAAAATAGACAATATTACATAATACAAGGTGTGTGTTTCACCCAATGCTTATATATTACTTTCTAAAAATTAAAATAAAAAAATTATATTAACAATAAAATAATAACCTCACAAGATTAACTAATTGTTAAGAAAGTTTGCTCTCTTCATTGAACCCATTGAACTCAAACCTTGACTTATTATTTAAAAATATCACTTAATTTTTTCTAAACACACCGTGTCAATGTGTGGACCTTTAAGATTGCTTTTTTTTAAAAAAAAAAAAAAACTTAGTATTGAATGACATTAAAACTAGCACAAAAATACCTTAATGCCAAACAATAAAACAATAAAATAATGAGCAGCATTGTACCAAAACTAGGTACTACTAGATTTAAATTGCAGACAGAACATACTAATACTGAGAAAAGACAATAAACAAAAGAAAAAACACCCTAGCTAGCAATTTTTTTGCGTTTGATTGAACAAAGGCTTGCCTGCAAAGCTGGCTGACGGGAAACAATAGAAGAGGGAAAAAAAAAAAAAAAAAAGAGAGAGTAGGCTGAGCCAACAAACAGATTGCTAGTTGTGATCCATGGATCTGCTTAACAATTCTATGTTGGATTTTATGAACACTAATTACACAATCATACACTGAAATTTATGGTTTAGGATCTAACCACAGAATCATAAACTCGGTATCAAATGTAATCCATCATTTTTTTGTTACATGTCTGAATTTTGAGTTCTGTCACTGTCATATTCCTCCTCAAAATGTGGACAGGCATTATAAGCAGGGCACATAACTGCTACTGTTATTCCTGGAAAAAGAGAACTAAGATACAGCAAGAACATGCTTTAATACCTTAAGAACATGCTTTAATACCTTTGTTTATGATTGTTTTCGAAATTAATTAGACTTACAATAGCCCATTGATTGTGCTTGTAACAATAATAATAACAAACAGTTGAACCAACTATTTAACAAACAAAACTTTCAGGACTTGAACATTCCATGAAGGGCAACCCCAACACCTCATTAGAAAGTAACCAAATAACTAAAAGTTGGATTTGTTCCAGATAAGTTTGAACTTGATCAGCACACACTTATCACTTCACCATGTCGTACAAGCCTGTACTTGCTTTTGCAAACCCAAGTTCCATTGTTCATGGTGCTTGATGGAACATTCTTCCCAAGGCAAAAATTAGTGGTTATCATTGGTTCCGGGTAGCAATATCAGTCATTCTCACTTCCCACTATTTTTTCCAGCATTACGTTTTGCATATCTATACGCTGCTCTTTTATCCTCTCTGTGGGATGATACAGAAAAATGTTAGAGGATAAAGACGCTAACAAAATTATGACTCAATCCACACATTTTATCTCAAAGTTGAACACATAAAACCTTCCTGTCTCCAACAGACACACACATATTTGCAACATTCATGTGGATAAAAGAAAGATAGTATAGAATGGAGACAAAAAATTACCTGGCTTTTGAAATTTCCTCTCTAGAAGGAAGTTTTTGTTTCTTTCCCTTTTGAGCACCGAATGGATTCTCTACAGTCCCATCATTAGGTAAACCATTTGTTAAGCTATCCTTTTCTGTGGAAGTTCTCTTTTCCCTATTACTCTCGTTCAGTCCAGGGGCTTGCTCCACAGATTCTAAAGGTTCAGAAGGACCAGCTGTTGGTATCGAGTTACTCAGTTTCTTCAACTGCAAAAAGCAAAGTGGCAATGCGAAGAGTCAAAAAGTTTTCAAAAACAACAGAATCTATGATCACAAGATTGTAGGTAGGGTGGAGGGTAATAAACCAAATAACCTAAAACATATAAAAACATTTTGCCCAAGACTGTTTGACCTATAAATCAAAATATGAACAGAAACCAGCCCAACACCACCACATCAATCATTGGTTAAACTGCAACAGGTCAGGGCAGAGGCAGCATTTCCAATCAACAGAAATCTATTTTAGGACAGTTGGAGAATACAAAATAATGGTATAATGTTAAAAAAAAATTACTGCATTAAATCAAAATAAATATTTTGTAATAAATCATTCTATGACTCAATATAATCGAAGAAACTCATAACAAATTGTATAACCACAGCATCAATTCAATGATTATCCTTCTATTAAAAAAAATCAATTGCCTCTGAATTTTACTATACATGCAATATACATAACCATGGTTGGGGATAACATGGGTGGGCATCATGTTCCCACCCAGTCCCATATCCTGTTGGGGGATTAATTTTGTTCAGCAAAAGTATGTGAAGAATCTTTCCAATCCTTGATAAAAATCTTGAATGAGTCACTAGTGGCCTGGATCATTACAGGTATATGTACTGAATATTAATAAGCTGATTTGAAATGCCAAGGCAGCCCTTGGTGTTCTGCATCATTGGCAATCCAACCTAAACAGCTATTGAGGGCTTGATTGCATGGTCTACATAGAATGCCGTGAAATAAAGACGATATTTGGAAAGTGCAACCTAGATGTTTCAGCCTCAGATTCTCAGCTAACTTTTAGGAAAGCAGAGGTTCAGGCCTCTTGAGGAAATTAGCTGGCTAGAAGCTAAACAGCCAGTACATCAACATATCAAACAATAAGTTAGTGGATGTACAAGCATATATGCTTTTGAGATACATAAACAAGGGGAAAGCATTTAAGTTGCCAGAAAGAGGAAAAGGAGTCCAATTGCCTTTGCAAGACCAAGAAGAGTTCAAGAAAATTAACAATCAGGAAACACTTATGTACATTTTCAAAATCAAATATTGCTATATCACAGTTCCAGGTATACCTTTGCAACAAAAAATCCATCCATGTTGTGAACATGGGGGTAGAAACGTCTTGTCTTTTCCAAGGATGGGTGAAAACGGTGGTGCCTAAAGCGGACGAACCTATAAAGATGAGAAGCAATGTTTTTACCCAAAACTGAAAAGTTCATGTGTGATAGTACATGCGTGAAAATAACAGTATACCCTGGACGCCCAAAGTCGAGTCCACAAGGCACAAGTTTAACATTTCTCTTCTTGAGTGCATAGTCAACAACTGCCTCATTCTGCAAGAGAAAATGCAGTGGTAAAAGGAAAGCAAGGCAAATGGGAAAAGTAAATGAAATTCAAAAGGCATTTGCCTGCAAACAAACCTCAGCAACCATTATGGAGCATGTGGAGTAAACAACATATCCACCAGATTTTGATTTTGCATCAACCATGTCAATCGCAGCAAGTATCAATTGCTAAAGGAAGAGGATGGAAGTTTCAGACAATGAATTTGATTGAAGAACAAATAACAGCATAAGAATAAAACTTTTCTGTGGCCCGGTTTACATCATATCGCAAGCTTCAGTGCTGTAGTTGATTGCACAACTTTTGGATGAAATGAAGAGTGTTAACTCATCTTTCAACCCCAACCAGCTGATGCTGCATAATCTAGTTTCTTATTGTACAAACAAGGGAATAGGGTGAGAGCACAACCACCTCTATTCGTCTGTAACCTTATTGGTTAAAAGTTTGAGGACCCAATTTTTCCTAAACATATCATTGAGGCCAAACTGGACATACCTTCTGTAAATGGGCACCTTGCTCTATGTCTTCAAGGCTTTTAGAAATTTTAACAGACTGGTCTTTAGATATAACCTACAGAAAATAAGTATAGGCCACAGTTTCATTTTTATAGCAACCAAAGAAAAGAAGCCAATATTTAGGTGAATTCTGCAAGTTGCTTACCCCAGTCCCACTGCATGGGGCATCTAACAACACCCTGTCAACTGTGTTGAGACCTAGAGTCTTGGGAAGCTGTGATTGAAAAAGGTAACAACAAAACAGAAGGCATAAAACAAGTAAGCCAGACTAAAAAAAATACTTAAAAGTTTGATTCTATTTAATAGAGTAGAATATATGCTTTGCATTTTGTATGACAATTGCCATACAGAACACTGGCATTGATTTACAAGGTAACTCCCATAACCAGAAAAAATATTCTATCGTAAACACCGGCTAGCTAACAGCAAGAAAATAAGTCCAATTGTTAGGAAGTCCAACAAGACACTAACCTCCCTTCCATCATAGTTACAAACAATGGTGTTTGTCACCCCCATGCGATGCAAATTTCCTGTGAGCGACATAAGTCTTTGGGCCTTCATCTCATTTGCATAAATTATTCCTGGTGACAATTTAAAATAAGGAGAAAATTCAAATCATGGAAGGTTAACATGGTACATTATGCACTTATTTTGTCTGACAATAACCTTCTACAATCATTTTATTTGAACAATTTTAAATAGAGAAAAAGGATAAACTGAATTTATGAAAGACCTAGTCCATACAATAAAAATCATGCAGAGCTGAACAGATGATAGCTTAAATAGAAACATGGAATTTCCATGGACACAGAAACCTAGTAACCAACTACCCTTAGCATCTCTATGAGCAAATAACGAAAAGACAACAATGAAATAACACCACATTTCTCAAAAGTTTGCTTCATTGAGTTCAATAGTTGTGGAATGAATCATGTAGTTACAGGAATCTTCAAGATGACCAAAATCCCAGTTGGAAAAAAAAATCAACCAGAATTACCACATACCACTATTTTTCATCAGAGCAGCGATGTATGTCGTCTTACCACCTGGTGCAGCCCTGTTACATGTGTAAATAGTTTATCAAACAAAAATAACTAAATAACTTATCCTGATCTAACCACAAGGAGAACGCTACATTGCAGCATGAATATACTGTTACCAAGTAAAATAATATTTCAAATGAGAAATAATTATTTTTGTTCTGGATTTTAATTTTGGGGGCATTATATGAACTATGTGTCTAATAATTAAGCACACTGATTGGTTTTACTAAATGTCAAAGTGATAAGATCACCACTAGGTTATGGTAACACTATAAAAATGGTTATACGAAGATAATTTCAGAATCAAGATCAGCTCAGCATTAATATGCATGACTATTAAATATTCTTAAACCATAAACTAGCAGAAGATGAAGGTATCACCCAATGACACAAAAGCTAGCAAATAGTTATAATTTTATACATAAGAAAAAAAACAAGTACTTACGCCATATCAACAATCCGTTCCTTTTCTTGAGGTGCAAGGGCCATCACAGGCATGAATGAGCTTGCACTTTGGAGCTGAAAAAACCACGACTGAAGACTAAATACACGATACAAATATTACAAAGTTGTAGAACATGATGAACTGGGAAAACATTTACCATGTAGTGACCAGCCATATATTCAGGAGTGGCACCAATTGGTACTTGGGAATCATAAACAACTAGTCCAACCTACAACAGATTTTCACAGTTCTTTGGTTATTTACATTAACAGAGAATGTATATGACCAAATAGACAAAGAGAAAACAGTGATACCTTAGACCACTTGCTTAAAGGATCAAGGTTTACTCCTCTGTTTAAGAGTACATTGGCCAAATCCCGTCTTCGAGTCTAAGCACACAAGACAAAATAATGAGCAAAAAATTAGAGAACAAAACACAAAATGAAAGGGACTTATTTTAATTTTACCTTTAAGGTGTTGGTTCTTAGACATGTGGGTCTTGGCTTTTCAAAAGCTTCAATGAGCTCCATAAGTTCGTTAACAGGAAACATCTGTAAGTTAAAATGCAAGTAATTTACAGTACAACCCACAGTATTTCAATTGAAAAGAAAAAAATTCACACAAGATAAATGGAGTAGAGGATAGAACAAATTAAAGATAGTGATAAATCACCTCCACCAGGGCTCCCATCAAGAATTCATTATAGCCATAGTATTTACATAAATCAATCTTAAGTTGTTGAACGTAATCCTTCCTTGAAGCACCCTCTTGCTTCAAGTCTTTAAAATTCGAAAGCACTCGAACAACTAAACAAATTCAAAACTTCAAAATAAATTACAAACAAAAGTGATGCAAATTAATCCTTAAAACAGTTAAACCTTTATAAAAATGCTACTCACTCTCATTAATTCTCCTTTGGAGATTTTGAAGATCAGGGGGCCGAAGTGCTTCATCTTCAAGTTCCTACATTATAAAAGAAATTATATATATATATACATATAAACTAGGAGGATAAGTTACAAAAACAGAGACACATTCAAAATTTTACACAAGTGAGAAAAAATAAAGCGCAAACAAAGACTACATACCTTCTGAGTAGGTAATATAAACTCATCAGATTCTTCAGCAATATTTAGCTTCATTTCTTCCTCAGCTTCTTTTTGTTCCCTTGCCCTTTGTTCATCGATAGCTCTTGACTTCTTCTGAATATCCTCTTCATCCGAATCTTCTTCTGAACCGGAATCAGAACCAGAACCTTTCTCTACAAACGCACAAACAAAACAATACCATATATCACTGAAGAACTAAACCACGACTAAAACAACAAAAAAACCCACCTTCATCATCACTTCCTCCTTGTAAAAAATCATCAGCAAGGGGGTCATCGTCAGCATCAGAAAGAATATCAGACCCAGAAGCAGATTCTGATTGCCCATCATCTTCATTAAACTCCACCTGTTCTAATTCTTCATCTGGGCTATCATTATCAGAATCACCCAACATGTCAGCCTTCTTTGGGCGACGTTTTTCAGTGAAAAGATCGTTCTTTTGCTTCTTTTCGGGTGGGGGTCTTTGCGTTTTTGATCCCTTTTTCTTGTTAATCTTAGTAGCAGGTGCCATTGAAGCTGAGAAAGCAAAGAAAACAAACAAATAAATAAATAAATAAGCAAAGTTCTGTATATTGACACTTGAAGGAAAACAATTGAAACAAATCCTACAAAAAGAAGACTTCAAGTTTCTGAATGAATTCGACTTACTGAGCTACGTTAGGTAGAGAAGCTAAAAGGAGTTTTGCCCGTCTCTTTCTTCTTCTTATTGAGTCGGCTGGCTAGGGTTTAGGGTTTATTAGAAAAAATGAAATACAAGGCGCGAGGAAGATAGAGACGGGGCCCCTGTTGATTCCAGTTCCTTTTCTTCTCCTCCTATTTACTACAGCAAGAAAGATTCGTGGCTTAATGTGAGTGGGTTTTTTGGGTTTAGGTTTTCTTTATTGTTGACATAGGCCTTTTCTTTTTATGGCCGAGCCCAAGCCCATTTGATGAGGAATACTTATCATGCAAGAACTTTTTGGGCAAACCTCAAAAATATCATCTGGGTAATTTTAATGTTATTTTATTAAATAATTTTTTATATCAATTTTATCTTTAAAGACTTTGATCTATTTTTGATACTTTTCATCCATATATTTTTTTTTATCACAAATGCACTGAGTTATTTTCTAGGAATTTAATGTTTTTTTTTTTTGTTAAGTAATTCTAACAAAAAATTTCATTGAGAAATCAAAATAATTTAGTGATAAAATTGATAAAAAAATAATTTGAAAGCAAAATTAGTAATACCATAATAGTTTGGTTGGTACATTTGAAGTTCGTCTAAGCTTTTTTATAGGTCGGCAACCAAGCAATTCAAATCCTTGAAGAGGAGGTATGAGTTTTGGGGATGGAAATAGGGTATTTACAAAATAATTCCTTCATCCTTTTACATCTTTGATAGATTTCGCAATGATAGCACAGGATCATTGAATAAGGATTTAGTTAGATGGGCCTTATGTGGACTGGTTACTAGAGTCGGAAGCTTAGCTCCATGACCTTAAAGAACACTTAACAATTATTATATTATTATACTAAAACCTAATTTTATTATTTATTTATTATTTGAAATATTATTCATACACTCACAAATCACTATTCATGCATTCACAAATTACTATTCCTTTCACTATTCATGGCATTTTTTTAACATTTTGGTTCTCAAATTTTTTATACATTTTTTTTCAATTTCAAACTTTAATTGTATTGTGATTTGGTTTCGTTTTGTTTTAGTATCTTTAGTTAATTATTTTTATTATTTAACATTTACTACTTTAATTTGTCTTCTTCTTTTTTCTAAATTCTCATCTAATTAATTTAAAATTATATTTACTTATAGTTTTGATTTATTTTTCTATATGTATGGATTTTTGAATAAATTTTTAGAACATAATTATTTTTTTTGAAAAATAGATTTAGATAATTTTTAAATTATAGTAGCATGATTGATATATATTATTTTTCTAAAATGCAAATAGTTAAATACAAAATTTTTGATTAAAAAATTATAAATAATTTTTTTTAACTTTTGATTTCATATATTTTTATATATTCACACCATTGTGACACCCCCTCCTCGGCCCACTTGCTAATTACCCAAAAGGAATGGCTAGGCGAGGAGCGTGTCATGCCGACACGATCAATTCTCGACTTAACCCCAACACGTATGTGCTCATACATTAAGGACTTATCACATAATAAAATACGTACAAGATAATTTTCATAATATTAACAAATACAACGGAAGAAATTATAAATTTTATTTACAATACCATCAAAATGTTTATTGATACCCCAACCCCAAAAATTACAATCAAAAGAAATTTTGATACACTTGTGTCACACGTGAGCCTTTTTGGAGGATCCGATAGCATCCTTACTACTTTGGCTCTTTCCTATCATAACATGAAAATAATAACGAGGTGAGTCGAAGCTCGGTAAGTAGGGTGATGCACGTGATATGCGGTGAAGTTTTGTTTCCCATTACGCCCATCCATATTAATCCAAGTACCCTAGGTATTAGCAAGATCATGCGTTCTATCTCTTAGTAATCGTATTATCACCTATTGCTCTATTACTTTCTCTCGGTGATCTCATTATCACCTGCTTGCTCCCAACGGAATTCTCCCTCGTTGTAGCACACGGTTAGCGAAATTATCCCTCGTTTAACGGTGTTAATAATAGAGCACGCATATGGTTTCATGCTCGTTACCCATTCCATTCAATTCGATTACCAAACCGTATTATCTCACGACTCAATGATTTTTCTCAATTTTATACCACCCTCGAATGCACGTGATGCACATGGTATTATGTTTAATACAATTAACTAATTACGCTATCAACGTTTTCTTCTCGGACTATTCTCGTGTCTCGACGCACACTCGGGACTTCACAAGTGTTTCATGCATCATTCAAAGTATTCAAAACGAGAATACAAATTCCATTCATTGGTAGCATTCATTGCATAAATCTACTTTGTGCTTATGAGTTTTCCTTCTCGTGTACCTAGTAAGGCTAGGCTCGGATTTTTGGTGTATTACTTAGTTTACAAGATCGATTAATCCTAAGGATTTATGTGTGACATACTTAAGCTAAACTCTTGTTAAATCCGAACCTTTAATCTTAGTAGTCGAAGTTGACTCATAATTGGTCTAAGTCTTAATCCCAGTTTTTCTTGAATTCTCTTTTTCCATTACTCCATTTATATGTCTTATAGTAATTGGTCTTTACTTGAGTTCACATTTAAATTCTTAATCTCTAATTACACAAAAGAATTCAATGTTAGTCATTTTTTTTCCTAGGCCGAATGGCTCCAAATGAGTAAGAAATTGTTTTTCCATTTCTAGGTCAATTTCTTTTTATACTAACTTACCAAACCATACTTAGAAGGGTTACCAAGGAGATCTAGACCTTAAGGTCCACAAAGGAAACCAAATTTAGCCATCAAATATCCAATCTTATCTAATGAAGTCCAAAACTCCATTTTTTTTCCTTTTAGTTGGGCCGATTGGGTTTTTAAGATGGTCATGGATTGCCTTTTATGTCTAGTGAATTTATTTCCACCCAAAACTATTAACCCATTCCTAATTGAGTTACCATGATATTCTAGGCCCTTAATTTTCCCAAAAGATCCATTTTTTCCCAATTTTCCCCACTTGGGCAAGCTGGTTTTAATCTAGAGCAACTCTAGAAGTGTATTTCTTTTCTTTCCAAGTCATACTCACCAAATCTAGTTTAGCTCTCAACCAATTCGGGCCATACCCTTTTCGTTGTTTTTCTTTTCAAACCATCCACACATTTACACACATCAAACAAACTTTGCATCATAACACAAACACATAGATACATCATAATTTACCAAACCCTAACACCAAGCACAAACAACCATAGCAACCCATTGCAAAATTATTACAAACCAATTAAATAAACACTAAAAAAATAACTTAAGACATAAAATAACTAAAAATGGAACCTACTTACTTTGCTTTAATTTCCTAAAGGTTGTTTAGGCTTTCCCTTTCTTTCTTTTCTTTCTTTTTTCTTTTTTCTTTTCCTTTCCTCCTTCTCTCTTTCCTTGCTCGTTTTCTCTCCCTTTTGTATAGCTACGGGATGCCTAAAACTTTTCTTGCCATTTTCACTTATTCTATATATACACATGCTTAAAATCTTAGTACTAATTAAGCATACAAATGTCTTAATTTAATTTGAGAGAATGGAAAGTAATTGGTGAGTTAGGAGAGAAAAAGTGGCGGGTTTGATGGGTTTAGGGTGAGTTGGGCTTAATTCATTAATTAAGGGGGCCTGTGTGTCCTAACTAATTGGTTAGATTAACTAAACACTCTAAATAGTCTAGTTCAAGTAACTAAACATCCCTCCCTCTCATAATTTTTGAAAATTCCTCACCTTAAACTCGGATTCCGTCCCGCAAAAATATTCCAACGAGTGATACCTCTAAAGCAATCTGTACTAAAATGGTCATAACTCTTTATAAATAGGCTTTAAAATAACAAAATTTTATAGGGAGTTAGTTGAAACATATATAAACAACTTTCATTGTTTAGGATTTACCTAGAAATCATATAAAGTCCTTGAATAAATCACACAAAATTCGAACAGAATATAATCCTCAAAACAACTGATTTTGCATATTTGATTTCTTTAATAATTAAACCATCAAGCTCAAGCAAAATAACTTTAATTTAAAATAAATCATACATTTCAAGCATTAATTTCTCATGATGTAATGAGAATTATACTTACACTTAATATATGTGTGTGTGTATATATATATATATATATGTCGCTTTACGGTTAAGGATTTTTTTTACGGGGGTTACAATAAAATAGATTATCAAACTAAAATGATTTTTTTAAATAATTTTATATATTTTATCTAACTCGTAGCGTAAAATGGAAAAAAAACTAGTAAAACATAGTTTTACTATTCATTTTACTATTTGAAACACTATTCACACACTCACAAATCACTATTCCTTTTACTATTCATATCATTTTTTTAACACTTTCATCCTCAAATTTTCTAAATTTTTTTTTCAATTTTAAACTTTAACTGTATTATGATTTTATCCCTTTTTTTTAGTATTTTTATTAACTATTTTTATTATTTAAAATTTACTATTTTAATTTGTCATTTTTTAAATTCTATTTTTTTTCAACTTCAAACTTTAATTTCTTAATTATTTTTATTATTTAAAATGTACTACTTTAATTTGTCATTTTTTTAAATTCTCTCTCTTTTTTTTTTCAATTTCAAACTTTAATTATATTATGATCTAATCCCATTTTATTTTAGTGTTTTTTGTTAATGATTTTTATTATTTAAAGTTTACTACTTTAATTTCTCATCTTTTTAAATTCTCATTCACTTAATTTAAAATTATATTTATTGACAATTTTGATTTACTTTTCTATATGTATGGATTTTGGAATAAATAATTAGAATATGAATATTTTTTCTTTTGAAAAATAGATTTAGATCATTTTTAAATTATAGTGACATGATATATA